ATGGCTTTTTTCCTGTCCTTATATGTAGATGCCCTCCATTTGTTACCCAATAATTTGTACAATATATCTTACACATTGAGGAAAATTTCCTTCCATTGTTGTTACTTTATCAAATTCCTCTGGGGATTCTTTATCATATTCTTCTTGATTATCTTCATCATCTTCATTTATTTCACTCATAGACAGGTTTTCTTTTATATTATCATCAAATAATAGCACCGTTCATTGATTGTCGGAATGAATATTCATCAAATTTTAATATAGGATCAATCTGGTCATTGATTTCTACTAATATTGGCAATGAGTTTATTCTTTTAAGTGTAGCACTTAGAGTAAATAAAATATCTATAAATGAAAACTTACAATCAAATTAATTACAAACAGAATCATATATAAAATTTAGTAAATCTTTAGAAACATCTGTATGGAAATCACATACCCAACTCATAGAAAATAAAGAAACATTAGAGAACCTGCCACACTTGCTGAATTTTACGAAATAATGCCAGAAGATTTTAATGACCTTTTTTTTTGGCTTATTTATGATCTAGAAGAAAAAAATATGATGCAATAAAAAGAAAAAGAAAACAATGCAAATTACCTCTGCCTGTGTTCAATGAATCTGATGTAATAAAGCTCACTACTTTTTGGAATAGTAATATTAATATTTGCTTTTCCTAATGCTTTACACAAGTGATGTTGTTATTATGCCAGAAACCAAGACTGATGCCCTATCTATATTAAATATTACAAAAAGTCCATGTTGTTCCACATACAGATGCATCTAAAAGAGTAGAAGAAATATAAGAAATATAAGAAGATGCAATGAAACTAGATGATAGAACCTTTAACATGTATAAATACATTGTAAATTTCTCTTTTCATGTATTATTTAGTTCAGTTTGAACTTTTATCTTGTAACAACAATAATATATTAATAATAAAATACAAACATAAATATCTCTTAAAATAACCTCTTGCCAGTGGAATAATCCACCCACTTCCAAAACCAACCAATCTGCTCTAACTAACTCAATTAATTAATTAATTGCTAACTTATCAGGGGGACACCTTTGATAAGTATAGCTGTGTGTATGTATTTTCTTTTAATTTTATTTTCTTTATTTTTTTTTAGATTAGGCCAATACCTAAGAAGTGGAAACCCTAGCTAGGTGTGGTCAGTTAAAATACTGGGCCATAAATATAATTGATAAGCATAGAAAGTATCAATACAAATACTTAGGATATTATAAATAATAATTGAGATGCGCCAGCTTAGGCAGATAACAAAGGACTGCTGAGAAAACATTACCAGACAGGAAGCAACAAAACTTGCCCCACAATGGATTAATAGTTTGAGCACTATTACTGCCATAAAATAAAGAGGGTGTAATTAAGAATTAAATAATTGGATGCTGCCATAAAACGAAATAAATACTATTCTAACCATATCAAGAGATTTGCATGAGAAACAGATTTTGATCTCACACTACAGTATTACTTATTATTATGCACCTAAGGTTGTGGGTGAAACCTCCTTAGTAATTGCTGAAACTATGGCAAAACTATATTAAAATCCTGTTGAAACTATGCTGAAATGGTGAAACCTCAAAATGTGAAACTCTAATAAACAATTAATGTGTAACCTGCTGAAACCCTGCTGATTGATTTCTGGAGGAGTTTCAGCAAGCAATCTTATATGTATCTAAAGAAAATAATATATATTAATTGATTTAGATTTATTTTTAGTTTTAACTAATTTCCTGCATGTAGTAGGAGGTTGTATTTTGATAAGTAAAACATGGGATTAGCCATCTATTTACCCACTTATAAAGTTCTATCAATAATAAAAAAATATATAAATAATTAAATATACATAAAATTATTATAGAACAACTACCTTTTGAAATTCTTTTGATGTTCATGTATAGTACTGTTATCATGTACATATTAGTGTTTCATATAATGAATCAAATGAAGTAAAAGATGTAGTTAGTCAAAAAAATCTCTTGGAAATACATAATTTTATATAAATAATACTTATTTTTTTAAAAAATTTTGCACACCTTAGTAAAATTTATATATTAATAAATTTAAAATCCTTTTTAAATCGATGTATAATATCACTATTGTGAACATATTAATGTCTCAATGAATCAAATTAAGTAAAGGCATAGTTAGTCAAAAAATTTCTTGGAAATATATACAATACATTTATATAATGGCATTTACTTTTTTTTAACATCAATTTATAATATTGTTATTGTCTCTTAAATAAAAAGTGTAGTTTATTCATACTCTCACTACATGGAAACTTTGATAATGTAAAGATCTATTTTTTTAATATTAAAGATACTTTAGAACAGACTTTGTGTTTCATATTGGATTAAACACTTTTTGTTCTATATAATTTAGACAAACCCCTGAATGACTGTTTTACTGTTGTGATTATTGTTGTTGCTGTCATTATTATTAGTTCTGTTTCTAAAATTCAAAATGTTATATTCTAAAACAGTAATTTTACATATCATGGGACAATAAATAAATCAGAAATAATTTATGAAAGTTGCATGCAGAAAAACTGATCAAGTATTCAACCAGTCCAATTCTGTACTAATTCTGTAACAATTTTCCATGCATATTCTGGTTTTTTATGACATATTCCGTGCATATTCTGTACATATTCCCAACATATTCCTTGATTTTATGTACAGAAAAGTATTCTTTTATGGCAAAATCCTGTACCTTTTCTGGGTAGCAATTATAATGGAATTACCTGTACATTTTCCGCACATTTTTCATACATTTTCCATGCATAATTTTTTATAGGACATAAGATTGACTAATAAGAATTATAATTGAAAAATAATGGCAGTATATAGTAGTTTTGTGATTAAGTGAATTTATTTTAATATCATCCAATAAATTGAACCAATTAAATTACAAAGATTAAGAAATGAGCTACAAAAATTTAACCAACTATACAAACTTCTGCCTATGACCTCTCATACATTTGTAACACATGTAATATTGGACCCCAGTAAAGGACCCCAAACAATCTTAGTAGATAGTACATTTCAATTTTGGGTAGAATCACCCTTTTTTTGATGATGGTATATCAAATGGTACATTTGAAACTGGGTATTGGCCTCATATGGTACATTTGAAAATAGGGTATTTTAAGAAATTTTTATAAGGGTGTATTTGAAATTTTTAAGTGGTGCAACGATTTTTTTCCTTTTTTATCCTTTAAACGGTCAAAGTATTCTTTAATGGTAACACAAAATAATTTTTTGATCACGATCTTGCATTCTTATTGGTCAATTTAACGATCTGCAAAGTAAAATAGTCAATCAACAAACTTTTAAGGAAGATTTTATGAAAACTACAAGAACAACAACTGAATTTTATTCACAGATCATTCAGCTGAATCTCAAAATCATTTTCGTATTAGGAAGTGATACCTTCTGAAATGTTTTTTATAACAGAAAAAAAATTTCTGCTATCAATAGCTGAAAATCTGTTTAAGGGATAAATAAATAAAAAATATAAAAATGGTAAAATATACCAAACAGCATCTTTTAAACAATGAATATGTTTGAAAAGTTTCTGAAGATGGTACTAATGTTACATGTATTTGTGGTAATAAAATAAAATTAAAATTACATAAAATCAGTCATCAGTAAAAATTTCCTCATGCATTGGTCTTTGTGGTGATAAGTATAAAGCATATATTGAACATATATTGAACATACACAACTTACTGCAACTCATGATGATGCACCTCCACATTATGAAATGGCATGTCAACTATTTCCTTTGGTTTTTCCTATAAGTTTAAAAATAAAATATTCCAAATTAAAATCTGATCAACTAGAACATCTTGAGCAAGAACTTGTTAATCAATCAAAATGGTGAATTCAAGGTCTGTCAATTTGAAGTACAAAATGTAAAAAGGACACTGCGTGTACTTCCAAAATTTGTATTGAATGTCAAGGTCTCAAAAATGATCAAGTTTTTAAGGTATAATTTAGTAAATTTATTATTTAACTATATACTTTCATTATTATTTGTTAGAATGCACTAAATTAAAAACATATAAATACAAAAAATTATAAAATTAGCTTGCATAGTAGTCCAATATCAAGATATATAACTAATAGTGATGTTATGCAGCTTATACAACAAATCAATAATATTAATCTAGAAGCTGAAGAATCTTTTTGGTTAAAGCTTGCTGAACTGGGTGAAAAAGGATCATTTAAAAAATGGTCTACATTTGGGGGTCTATGTGAAGTTATGTTGGAAATAGCAGAGAGAAGAAGTGTGCAAAATTTGTATTATTTTGAAAAATATTCAGATTTTATTGCCATTTTATCATCTTTAAGTACTTGTGCATATAATAATGCTTTTCAAAAAATCTAGCTAGATGTGCAATTTAAAATTAAAATTAAGCATTTATTATTTATTGTTATTCTCTATTTCCAATAACTATTAGTGGTTTTGGTATTTCTGTCATAAAAACATGACATGTATTATTCAAGTAGTGTCTCTTTATTAAAAATGGTAATTATCATTCTTTTGTATAGAGGTTGTACCCACTGAATACTCATTCATTTTATATTCATTCAATAAATTAAATTTAATATTCGGATAATCATTTGATGAATAATCAAAATATTTGGATATTCATTTGATCATTAAATTGATTATTCAGTGAATATTCATTGTTAATAAATTTATTTAATTATTTTACATTCTGTCAAAATTATCAATAATTTTTTTCAAAAAAACAATCTTTTCAAATAAAAGTGGATTAAGCTTTGTTCTTTTTGAGGTCATTGTATTTCCAGCTTGGCTAAATAATCTCTCATTTGGAGTGGATGTTGCAGGCACACACAAGTATTTAGTAGCCAACTCTGACAAAAAGGAAATCTATTTTTATCATGTTTCCACCACAAGAATAGATATTCATCAACCTAAAATTTGAATTAATAGCATTAATACTGATAATTAATTTCAAAATTTATAATCATACTTAATGCAGGTTTTCCTTGACTATCAAAAGTAGATTCCAATAATGTTGGTTTATATATTTTATTTGATTTAATAATTTTTTTTGGTATAGAATTGTCAGGAGTAGATATTTGTGATTCAATTTGAGAAAATTCCATAAATTTAGTTTTTAAAAGTGTAAATGTTTGTCCTTGTATAGTTTGAGATGAAAATTTGATTTTTTTGATTCTTGGATCAAGGACACAAACTAATAATTCTTCTGCTGTTGGAGGTTTCCAATAATGATTTAAAGCACCAGAAGACTCCTCTCTTCTCATTATTGTATTATTACTTTCTCCTATTATAAGTGAGTGAAGGTTCTTCCATTTTAAATAGATGAATTTATTTGACGTGAGAAAATTTTATTTTGATTCAGTTGCACAAAATATTGATCATCAGTTATTCACTGAATATTCATTGAATGTTCATTTTTAATTTATTATTATATTTGGTCAATCATTCAATAAAAAAATCAAATATCCAATTAACCAAATATTCACTGAATATTATTCATTGGGTGCAACCTCTACTTTTGTAGAATCTCATTGTGAAATTGATTCAATATCCTATATTTCATGTTGAGAACTTTTTTTCTTGTTTTTCTTCTGATGGTTTCACTATCATGTGTTATTTACTTCCTTCTTCATTATTATATTAATATTATTTGGGTTATGGTGATTTTGCATTTCATGATAAACCATGTGGCCATTAACATTAAATGTGTTAGCTTTAGAGCAATTTCAATTTTTTAATCAAGATAGTGTAATAGATCAATTGAAAATAATTCTGGTAAAAAAATAATTATATTTTAATAAAAATTTAAATTTAGCTGTTTTTTTTACACATTTTGGGTATTTTTCATATTTTTTAGGGATGGTATAATTTAAATCTGGATATAATTTCTACTATTAAACCTCAAATGTACCATATACTAAGATTATTCGGGTTTCTCCCAGTAACCTATGTAGTTTCCGAGGTCCTGCTATTAAAACAACCCATTATTGTTTGTTACACGGACTTTTAAAAAAATTTTGTCTGAAACCTATGAAATCATAAGAGAGTTGATGATTTCCGTAAGGCCAGACATAGATTAAACCAAAGAACCATCTTTTTTAAATAAAAATTATATAAATGATAGTTTTTGAAAAGGTGTGTTTTTGTCTCATTTTTTTTCAGATCAAACTTATTCAAGCTGGAACTTTTGATAAAGGCTGAGACATACATTTTTATGTTGTATTTTTAATTATTGAAGAATATATGGAAAGAAATATGCTTTGGAGAGAGAGAAATTAATTGTTTCACTAGTATGTATGGATATGATCAGTAAATCAGTAGTAAGTACATAAATAAATAAACCATTGTTAATTAATAAACATTATATCTATTCTTCTTATATATATGTAAAGATAAATTAACAATATATAAATATGTATGCAAGTTTTCTTATTTTTTCTCTTTATATGAAGATGGTTTTTTTATAAAATTATCCAAAAAAAAAACATTTTTAAAAGTTGATGGAAAAATTACTATTGTTAAAAGATTTTGTAATGGAACTATTTATGAAGTAAAAGTTGGATTTCCTCACACTTGTGATGACTTTAATATTTCATATAATCAGGTATTATATACAAATATCTAATTTAAAGGATAAATTTAAAGCAACAAAACAACATTCCAAAAAGTTGGCTCTTTTTATTACAATGTATAAATAATAATATACAAACTTATTATTGGTAAAGAACTGATGAATATACCATGTTTGGGTAGATATTATAAATACAAATATATTTCTATATTTGCAGCTTTAGTATGGGGAATTGTAATGTAGTTGTTTCATCATGATCATGATGTGTTGCAATCATATATGCAATATTTATACTTGGACTCTGATAATGGGATTCCCTTAGAAATTTCTTGTGGCATAATAAATAATGTTTATATTTTTTTAATTAATGTTTTAAGAAGAAATATTTGATAATTAATTTTGTAATTCTTCCTAGTTTATAGTTCCTGGTTGATTTAATAATCCAATAGAAAAAATATCTATTTCTTCAAAATAAATTTACCCAAATAATAAAATTTCATTAAATTAGGATTCTCGTGGTCACTGGAATCTGAACTTATTATGTATATTGGTTTCCCCCACAGTTAGTGATTTCATATTTGAATAAATTATAAGATTGTTCCTTGAATGTGCAGCCATTAGTTCTACCCTTAACTTGTCTAATTCATTACAAAGTACTTCTTGTTCTTTAATTGCAAGATTATTATAAAGATGATAATAAAAAGATTTTAATTTTTTTTCCCATATCTGGACCCTGATTTTTGTGGTGCTAATGGTAATGTTATTATTTAATGTGATTTAGTAATGTTGTATGTGGAATTAGCCAATCAAATATGGGTAAAAATTCTTTTTAATTGGTTACGAGTGTTGTATTCCCAATCATCAGATAATTTCTAGTAAATATTATATTTTCACAATAATAATAATAAATGTCAAATTCAAATTTGAATCCAAAAAAGAATTGATTTGAAGAATTAGAAGTTATAAGAACAAAACTAGATATATCATTTGGAGAAATATCATCATTAGTATATTCATGGTTAACACCAGCAGATCCAATTGAAGAGGAAAAGAACAAGAAGAAATAAAAAGACAATTAGAATTAACAAAACAAATTCAAAATTGATATACTTCAAAGTAAAGAAACAACCATATAATTGATTTTTTATTAAATTAAGTTTTTTTCCATTTTCCTAAATACAAGTAATTATTTTTTTTATACTAGGATTGGATTAAATATAACTAAGAAAGATAAATTAGTTTCAGAATTAAAATTATAACGTAAATTAACAAATGATAATAATGATGATGATGATAAACAAGATGATGATTATAAAATAATAAAAAAGGCATTATATAAATCTAATAATAATAAAAAAGTTCATATTAATAAAGGTGCTGATGAAGATAGTAGAACTTCAATAATAAAATCTAAAAAATCTAAATTAATAAATTAATTGATAATAATGATATATTAGCATTGTACACAAAATAAAAACAAAAAAATAAAATAAAATAATTTTATTTTTATGATAATAAAATTTATGATAATAATAAATTATATTATATTTATTATTTTTCTCTGCCAAATCTTTCTTTACTTTCATCAGTTAACATCCAAGCAGGATCAAATCCACAAGATTTCAATGGATTTGTTAGAATTGGATTGGGAAATGTATTATTAATTCCACCAAGAGAAGTATACCTAATAATAAAGAAAATAAGACAAAGAAGAATTAATTAAATAATCAAATTAACATTTAATATTATGTTTAATATAACTTACCCTAAATTATATAATTTACAATATGGAATATTTAATGTTCTTAAAAATTCCCATATCTCCACATAACTCCAATCTAATATTGGATGGACTCGCATAAATGGAGGCCAACCTAGATCAGTTGGAATGAATTTAGATAACTTATCTAAATGGTTAAATAAATAAATGATTAAATAATATTTATTGAGTGATTTTATAAATTTAGGTGCATGAATTAATTAAATTTACCTCCATGTGGATCATTTCTTCTTACACCAATTAATATTCCTTTAACTTCTGGTTTTAATTCAGAATATTTTTCCAATGCCTTTTTCATTGACTCTTCTATTATTACCAAGTCTAAATTATAACGTTTGATACTTTCTTCTATAAATTCTTCAACTTCAGGAAATGGTTTTGAATGTTTAATATATAATGCTTGTATTTTAGGCATCATTTCTAAAGATCCTTTTTTTGTTATATAATGTTTATTAAACACCACTGCTAACAAATTTAATAATACAACACTATCTTTTCCTCCATTATAAGAAATACTTAAACTTTCAGGACTAATAAAAAAAAATTAAAACAAAAAAAATTTTAATTAATTAAAAGGGAGAAAATGACAGCAGTATCTGACACTTACCCATATTTATTCAATGACTCTTCTATTATTTCAAGTGACTGTTTTATTGAGTTTGATAATGTAGTTTCTTTGTTTTTTATTAAATTATCAATTTCTTGATGAATTTTATCAAAATTCATCTTTGTGATTTGATCTGCACTAACACTAAAATTAATTGTTCTAAAATGGGGTTGACCCTCCGAATCATGTGACGTTCCCCTAATCGGCGCATTATCCCTTCCTTTCTACGTGATTGATTGATTGGTGAATTTTTCTGTTTAGGAAGGAGTATTTACAAAAATGTATTAGTGGATTCCATGGTGGTCCTGTAATTGTTGTTGACAATAAAAAAAAACATGTCAACTTACTTTTCATCATTAGATAATTTATTATTTAACAGCCTAATTAATACCAAAAATGATTAAAACATTCTAGTGAACTTGTAATGATTTAGCAAAGTTATTGAATGAACCAGGCTTTATGATGTAGGAATTAGAGTTGGAGTGTATGAAGATATTAAAACTTTTAAAGCTCATTCTAAAACAAGATTGTCATATTTTAAAGCTGATTTATCAAATAATTGGTTTAAAAAAATATTATTTTGTTTGAGAAGGAAAACATTCTTCAAAATGTGTTTGAGATCTTTTAACATAAGATCAATTTAATAATTTAATAAATGGAATAATTAAAACTGTTTATTTTATAGATAATGGAACTATTAATGTAGGTAATCTAGATGGAAATGTGACTTTTAATGAATTAATCAATGATTTGCAAAGCTATTTGATTAATGAAAGAAAAAATTGATTTCACAGAATTTAATTTGTATTCATTGTGTCATCAATTGTTTAACTTGCTTTAAGATTGTTTTGGTGTAAAAATTCAGAATTATTTTTAAATCTAATGTACAGTGATTGAAAAGTCTATGCTTACTATTATATCTATATTAGAAAAGGATGATATAGAAATTAAAAGAAATGGAAAAAGATATTTCAGGAGGATTTCATCAAGTTGAAAATTATAATATGTAGAAAATATAATCCTTTTGATAAGATTCAATTCAATTTCTTCAATGATTTTTCTTATAAATTTTCTATTTAAAAAAGTTTTGATAAAAAGAAATTCTTCAATGATATCTTAATGATGATTGGTAGCCAAAATTATTCAAAAAATACCAATCTTGAAAACAAGAGCAGAAATAAAAGCAGGAAAATCAAATGAAATCTCTAATTTCAAGTTGGATTGATTACAAAAATGATCTATATAACAAAAGTGATATGCATTATGAAATTTTGTAGATGGATTCTCTAAATCTATTTTTGAGGATAAATGTTATAATATTATAGCTATTGTGAAATAAAAGAAGCTAGTTGGTGGCTATGATCCAGTTTGTTGGAATATAAAAGAAAAGTTTCCAGATGGAGTATTACATTATGGGGCATACTGCAATGAAACCAGAAAAGTGAACACAACACCATAAACAAATTCACCATTGAGCACAAAAATTAGATCAATAAAACTAAAACAATTAAAGGTGAAGGTACTAAAAATCAGTAATTATTCAAAAAAATTTTTTGGCTGAGTAAGGTTTCTGGTCCAAACTGTTTTCTCAAATCCCAAACTAGTTTGAGCAATTTAGGCTTCTCAACATTTTTTATAAGCATAAACATTAAACAACTATATGAATCAACTTGTTTTAATTTAAACAACTTTAAAATAATTTCGCCCAATAACAAAAAGTAGTTTGGGCTTAATAACATATAAAATTAGATAATTTCATAAATCTCAATTTCTTCACAATTAACTTATAATATCTCCACAAAAACATAAACCTCGACTTATTGTTACTGGTAACTTGTTCTAACACTTCATTGTAACCTATTTGCTGTAATCTGGGTGGGACTTTCATTAATTGAAAATTCCCAAAGGAGAAAAACAAACATGTGTTCCTATACATTTAAATATGAGAGTTCAATTGGAACTCAATGAGACAAAATTTATTATTCATGTTGTTAATGGAAATGGTAACACTTCTTTTTGAATTTTACCCACAAATATAGCCTGGTCTGCAATAAATTATAAAAAATTTTTTTTTGATGTTTTAGTCTATCAAATCTTGCTTTCCTCTATAGTAAAGCCTTCTGAAATTTATTTGATTATGAAATTTTTTGGCTTTTTAAAAAACTAGGTTTTATTTTATTCTTTTGCTTGATTTTTTTTTTTAAAGAGGACGTGGCTAACGAAGTTGATTCTTAACTTTTCCTTCGACATTATTTTCATGTTTGACATTATTATTATTATTATTGGATTTTCTATAATGAGTTTCTTTACGAATTGGAATTTTTATTCCACTTAAACAACTTTAAAATAATTTTGCCCAATTTTGGCTGATAACAAAAAGTAGTTTGGGCTTATAAAAAAATAATTTTTGCCCAAAGTATTTGGGCAATTTTGGCTACTAATAGAAGCAGTTTTGACCAGAAACCTTAATAATTATACATAGCCAAAAAATGATTTTCTACATTAATGGATATAAAAAACCTGGAATTCTATTATTAAAATTCAAATATTATTTGAAAATACATCTTTAGATTTTGAATTTTACAATCAAAAGCAATTTGTTGTTTAATCCTAAAAGATAATAATTGCTTCCTTGATGTTTTCATACTAAAATAAATGCAAAAACTACAAAGTGAACATAAAATTATATATAGGGTTATAGGTATATGAAAGTATTAATAAAGGTAATAATTATAATGGATCTACTGAATATGAAAAGACAATTAATTTTTTAGAAAAAGGATGTGATTGTGGTTTTTCTTCAAGAATCCCCAAAGAAGAATTTGCAGAATCTTTTCAAGCTCTCACCAATCAGAACAAGATACATTTTTAATGGCTCAATTTAAAGCAATGGATGGTGGGTCAATAAGCACTGGTAAATATCTTAAAAAGAAAACCAGATCCAATAAAAGAACTTTCTAACATTGAGGTCATAATACTCTACTTTGCCAAGAAACTTACCTCAATATGTTAGGGATTGGTAGAACTTATTTGAAAATATCAAAAATCACTTGGTAACAATGCTATTTTAGCAAGAGTTCATGGCAATATTAAAAGGATGCCTCAATGGAATACTAAAATGGTGATTGATAAAAATGTTGCTGAAGTAATAAAGAATTCTTATATGATTTTCCAAGTTCATTTAAATATCTCAAAACTTTACTAATCAAAGTAGGTATAGTTCCTAAGCTAAAATTAACCATTGTAAAGAATTGCATATAAGAATGTTATTAACTCAATATTGAGATTTTGTAGTTAGGGCTGTTTCTATTTTCCATGCCCCATATCTCTTGATATAATCAAAATACAGTCAGGGTCATTACCAAATATGGAATTTCTAAATATTGTAATGATAAACAATCTAGGAATATTTAGTAATAAGTGTATTAATATTAAATATTAACAACTTTTTAATTGAACATATTGTTAACTATTTCTTGGCAATGACACTTATATATAATGTCATTTTTTTTATTTCTTTAAATGCTGACGAATTTATTATGAAATGATGGAACAAGAAATTGTAAACATAGTGGTGGGGCAATCTGAAGTTAAAGATAATGAGGGTGTTGATAAGATAAGTGAGCCAATTGTAACAAATACAGAAAATGTGCTTAAATATATACAACAAAAATATTTAGGAGTTGATCTTCAAATAATTAAAAATATATTAAGAAATTTCTTATTGAAGCACACAAGAAGCAAAACAATGTTGCATTTATGAATTTATGAATATTATTATTAAAAAAAATTTTTTTTGTATATACACATTTAATTTGTATCACATGATTTGATAAAGTTTCGATTTAGCGGATCTCTCGATTTAACGGATAAATTTTCTGGAAAAAATATCCGTTAAATCAAGACTCACTGTGTACAAAATTTGAAAAATAAGTTTTAGACTGTGTAATGCCTTTATTTGCAATCAAATCAAACAATAAATTGATTAATCTAATTAATCTATTAACAATTCTTTATTGATATTAATATTATTTAATTAGGTGATGCTGCTTTTTTATATTTTTTGAAAAAACGTTGTTTATAAATATGTATCACATGCAGTGTAAATAAAACACTTAAAAAAATAAATTTTGAATACTACCATAATCATAAAAATGTAAAATTTATAAAAGTAAAAACCTCATTATTGATTTTATCGAATTGCTTTATTTCCACAAGCTACAACATTACTTTTATTGATGAAGGTAAAAACCAACAAATATCTTAGAATTTAATTAATCATTATTAATTAAATATATTAACGTTTGTAATTAGATGGCAAGTATTATTTGAAAATGTGAATTTAAAATACAAAAAAAAAACCTGCCACTAAAATTGTTTATTGATTTAGCGTCTTAATCTTTTCTTAAAACGTTCAGCAACTATATCATCTGTTGCTATTTCTCTTCGAGCACCATGCTTATTATTATTTGATGAGTTGTGATTTGATTGGTCACCCCCATTGTTAATTCTTTCATGGTCACTCACAGTTGGACGTGTGCGATAAACTAAAAATCCAAGAAGATTTTGGAACATGATAACTTAACAATATATGGTTTTTTTATCAACAAAATTTACTTTTACTTACATCTGTTAGTTGCCGAAAAACTAGATCCCTCAAACTATAAAATGACAATTTCAATAAATAGCAGTGATTAATATATGTATATAGATATATTAAATAATTATTATCAATTGCAATGAATAAATTTCATTTACTGAATCCTTTTCAACTTTTGGTTTTTGATGTCTTTTTTCCAATAATTTTCTTTTTGCCTTCTCAGTTTCCTCAATATTTTTAAGTCGTACACTTGTAGAAAATAAATTTCATTAGCATTTTTTTTTAAAAAAAATATTTTTGTCATAAATAAATTAAACAAATAATTAATTCTAAACACAAACTCTATTCCTAAATCAACTTCTGGTATTGCAGTAAGCATGGTTGTAGATAATTGAACATTGCCTTCTGATATCGGTTTACTTTCAATCTATATGAAATTATTTTTTATGAACCAATTTATCAAATATTTACATGATTGTTAACAATGATAATGGTGATAATACCCGTAGATGATCTGGTGGTTGAAAAAGCTCATCACGAGGGTCTGCGGGACCATTTTGTTCTTTGTCTTCTTCTTGATTTGATTTATCCTTTTGTCCTTTACGCTTTCGCATTTCTTCCTCAATATATGCCATCCTGAGAAATTGTAAATTGATTATTGTTTCTCATTTTGCAATATATATATATTATTTTTAATTAATTAATTAAATATTACATGTGTTTGTCAACATCAAGAGTATTGGTTTGTTTGGTAAAGGAATCCAGCATGATTTTTTTCTTTGCAACAGTTTCATCATCTTCTTCTTCACTTTATTTTTTTTTTAAAAAGAAAAATCAATGATTGATTAATGTCATCAAATTTCAAAAAGTAAAAAATAAACACGAAATTACATTCATACTCTTTATTATTATCATTTGAATCTATAGTTTCGCCAGTATTTTGCTTCCAATTTTCATCATCTTTTTTCTTTTTTTTTTTTGATTCACCTTTTAATAATTTTTCCACATCAATGCCTTGAGGTTTCTTACGAAACTTTCGAAGCTCTTCAAGATCATCTAATGTTTCACTAAAATATTTTAAAACAAGGCTGATAAATTTTTTTTAAATCATTTTTCTCAAAAAAAATAAATTATTTATTTACTCAATTTGTGCCAAAGTTTCCTCTTCCTCTTCCGATTTAGTTTTCTTGCGATAATTACGATTTTTTTTAGACATTTCACAAATTTTACAAATGGCTTAAATGGGTTTTAAACATGGATTTATATTTATTTTGGGTGAAACAAGTACGACAGTATTTTTCCTTTTTTGTAATTTGCATTTTTTTATCTTTATCACTCACTATTACTATTACTATGCAAATATTAATATTTTGTACCGAAGAAAAATCAAGTCAAAGGATAATATTAATAATAATACAAATGAAGAAACGGTTCAATTCAAAAATTGATAATTTTATTTGCTCTTGATTTTTTTTTTATTGATTTAAAAAATAAATAAAATGGGAAACATTATATACATTTACATATACAGTGAGAATAATTTTTAATAGTTCTTATATTTAAATTATTATTTTTTTTTTCTAATTATTATTTTTCAAACTATATATTTCATTTTGGATTAGTTCTTCTTTGAATATTTATTTGTTTGTCCTAATTTTTGTTGAGATAGATAACTTTCAAGTTATCAAATAATCAGAATCATCACCAATTATTGGAGTGATAGCTTTCAAAATGGGGCGCAATAGCTATCAACATGATATATTGAATACACTCATCAATATGATGAATGCGAGGATGCCAAGCAAACACCATTATCACAACGACGCCAAAACAATATTCGGTAATTAATAGTCGACTCTTAAAAGCTCATTTATCTCTCTCTGCGCAAAACTTGCTGAAAAATAGCCCTTTCATGGGGGAAAGTATCATGAACACGCACCATCATTGAAAACAATTACATATTGTTTTCAATATCCAAAACAGTAAGCTTTATCATCCATACTTCAAATAGATGAAAGAAGCAGCAAAACTTCTGACATCTATTAATGCTATCAACAACAATATAATTTGTTATATTTGTTGCTGGCAGTGTTTCCAACGTTGGTATTGTTGACGTTGGTATTGTTGACGTTGGTATTGTTGACGTTGGTATTGTTGGCATTGTTGATGTTGGCATTGCCGGGCTGGTATTGTTGACGTTGGTATTGTTGACGTTGGTATTGTTGACGTTGGTATTGTTGACGTTGGTATTGCTGTTAGTATTGGTAATATTATTGTTATCATCGCTGGCAGTGCTGCTTACATTGCCGATGCTGGTATTGTTGATGGAGGTGAAAGTAGTAATAATGTTGTCCTTTATCATAATAATGCTGTCAATGGTATGGTGTACCGATAGTGGTGTGGTGTTGTTGATACCACACCATTAATTTCGTCCAAAAGTTCGTAAACAAAAGATATTAAGAAACTATATGATCATGAAGAAACCATCTCAATTTTAATTCTAGATACTGACATACAACGAAGATGTATATAATAATTATCAATTTTTTTAGGAAAGAAAAATATAATAATAGTAATAGAAATGCCCCCCTTTTTTAATTAAAAAAAATTTTTTTTTTCAGCCAAATCAGTCTCTTTAAAAAGAAAATTTTGTTGTTGATTGCAGGAAAAAAGCGCGCACATAATGAAATTGTTGAAGGTTTTAGAAATATGTTTATCTTGTAAATTATTTCCTCTATAGGTAAAGATATTCACATTTCAATTTTTCTATTTTTTAACACCATTAATATATAAGGTCACTCCCGTTATAAGAACGCTCCTGGGGACAAGCAAAAAATGTCCGTATAACGGGATGTTCTTATAATAATAACGGGCGTTCATATAATAAAATAACGTGATTAATAAAAAAGGCTATATAAAATAGAACATAGTCTTTTTATTACCTTTAGAGAATTGATTGGTGAGAAAGTAAAGACCTTTTTTATTTTAAAAACAAAATTACTCTACATTAATTAATAGTACTAATGATGAGAATCATTATGTATGAAAAGAATTTGAATCTTAAAAAATCATAATAATAAATTTATTGGAGAATATGAAGTATATAAATTAATCGGTGAAATTATCTAATATAACTAATTATGGGAACGGTTCGGCCCGGAACGGTTTAACCGCGGCTTGAAACTTAACTGATACGGGTTGGTTTACATATTTCAAACCGCGGTTTATGATTAAGCCAGTTCGAACTCCGGTTTGAAACTGAATTAAACGTATATAGTTAATTTTCATTGATCTGGTCCATTTATAGTGAATTTTGAATTTTTTTTTTCTAATTAATTTTTTCCCCTCAAATAAAAGATGTATATTATTACTACTGCCATTACTGCCACTGCAATTTCCAATACCAATACCAATACCAATACCAATACCAATACCAATACCAATACCAATACCAATACCAATACCAATACCAATGCCAATACCAATGCCAATACCAATACCAATACCAATACCAATACCAATACCAATACCCGATTCAAACCTCCAATTTGACAGCAGGTTTTTGTCGATATTTTTGTGAAAAATTTTTTTTTAAGGAGAATTGATATTGCTGCATTTTCAACTTCAATTGTTCAAATTTTTGAATAATATTTCATCAATAATTCAACTCGAATACATGACATTAATTTTATACCTTCCATTCCATAATCATAATCATAATCATAATCATAATCATTCAAGACTATTTTTAAAATTTAATTAGAATTATTTTTAAAATCTGAAGATATTACAACAATTAAAAACCTACACTTGTGTCTTTATTGAAAAATGATGAATTAAATTCAGATGAGATTCGTCCTCGGAATAATATAATCCAATGGGGGCATTAATCTTGCTATATAATAGATGTGCTTCTTGTTATATTTGCTGGTTACAAGCATTTGATGGTTTGTTAAATGATGGAAATTTATACTATCATTTCGATTTGATGCATGCTGTATGTTTGGTGAGACAGAATTCCTGACAATTGAAGATGGAACAGGAATACTTCTGTCATCCATCTGGTGCATGGGGTGGAATTGGCACAATTTCTACATGTATGCTCAAGAATAGTCTTCAGTATACAGCATATACACCATTAAAAATATTCCAAAATCTCAAAAAATCAACACCTTACAATGTAACACCTAAAAAGCAAAAATCCAGCTAATATTAATAGACAGATCAAGAAAAAATTGGAAGATTGGATCCGAATTTTTATGAATGTATTTCTAGCAATAGTAATGGCTGGCCAACTAAGTTAGATACTGATTTATTAATTTTTTTTATTTATAAATAAATAAACTTTTTTCACTGAAAAAGTTTTTTGGATCAAAACCTAAGCTACATAGTGAATGATATGATTTTTTTTATAAATTTAAGATCCAATGCTTTTGTCTAGATATTGTGTATATTATTTTTTAAAATTATCATTCATTCTGATTGTTTGAAATAATGTTGAAATCGTAATTCCAATGCCCTAAAAATAAAATAAAATTTATATCAGAAACCTTAATCATAATAATATTAATAATAAATATAATATTTATTTCCAAATTTTACCTTCGTTCCTCCTTCCTATATAATAAATTTAAAGATTTTGGTGCTTTCT